AATTATTTTAAATGCTAAGGTAGGTGTCTACAAGGCTTGAAAATAAGTGTGTGCACCTCTGCAGTTCTATAAAATTCATCTTGTACCTTGTATCGTATAATTATTATAATTTATCAGACATCGGTGGAATAAAGTAAACCAGTTTCCAAACTCGGGTGAACGGCTGCGACTTAAAACAGTCGGTCTGCAGCTATCTGTAGGGCCGTAACGTCAATGCCTCATAACGATAATAACCAATAAGGAATGAGAACTAAGAAGAGCATACTAATAATAACAATAATAAAGATAATGATAGTGTCGATAATAATATAGTTAAAAATATGTGTATACGGTCGCCGCTGTCCGTCCCTCGGAGACGGTACGTGGTCGGCGCACCGCGCACTACCGCGGCCACCGGCCGCGTTCTTCAGTACTCGTCGCCCGCCGGTCAGTCGATAACCGGCCGACACGGTACCGACTACCGAGTTCGTACAACACAAGTACACAATACTACAATGTTTGTACACTATTTGCGCACGCGCAATATCGCGGTAATAACAATACCGCTCGGCAACGGACCGAACAGACCAGAGATGGGAGTTTGGAAACCACTGAAGTGTCTCACGCGCCGAGGTTAGCGTCCCACAGGTCAACGTTTAGAGCGTTTCCATGTACGCGCCGCGCCGCAGCGGTGTGTACCGAGTACGAGTACGTTTATAGTCACAAATCGTCAGCCTAGTGCGTACACCCGTAGTAGGGATGCGCCGCCGCCTCTTCGGCATCCTTCTCCTATAACCTCTTCGGCATTATAGTTTCCGCCCCATCCTCCGACTCACCGCCGTCGTACCCTCCGACCGTGCCCGCCCGCAATTCGACTCGGCGGGCAGCCCTTCTCCCACTCGTCGTTTTTTCATTCCATCTCTCTCGCGCGCACGTCTCTTCCCGCCGCGCATCCCTTCTCACTCGCACCGCGTTCCCTCCCACCGACGCCGCTGCTATTCAGGGGGGGGAGACGTCCGACGCACGCACATCCATCCGAAAGACCCTCTTTTTTTACACGGCGACCATCGACGACAATGTCCTCTACACCGCACGACCTGCAGCTGTTCATTTTACAATAATCATAATATTATTATTTTTCTTTGTTTTTTTTTAAAAATCTCATCCTTCTCCTGGTTTTTCTTTTCGACGTGCGGCCGTGCGGGTCGACTGTAGTTTTATTTATTTCCTTCTTGTTAGTCTTAGCCATTCGCCTTTTGTCCGTCTCAGATGCCTCCGGTCGTCGTCGTTTACGTGTACCGATTGATAATTTCGCACGTAGCGTTTAGTGTTCATTAGTTTGTAAGCCGCCGTCACCGTTCCAGTGTTCTCGTACGCGCTGTTACTCGTCCACACACGCGTGCAATCGAATTCACTCACACGCGCGCCTCTCGCGCACACACACACGCACCGTCTGCTGTTATCTCAGGTAAACTTTGATACATGTATATTATATGTATATATATATATATACACACACATACGTACTTTATTGTTTTAGTATTATTATTTATCATAATTGCTATGGGTACAGTATTATAATAGTGTTTCCTGTCCTTCGACGGGCGACGACGACGCGCGCACGATCCGTCGTCGCTGTCACACCGATGACCGATCGACGATCATACCGCCGCGAAGTGGTTTTTTGTTTTTTTTTTCGCATTTTTATATTTCTCCAGATAATAAACATTACGCTATCATCGCCGCTGCACCGCGCACAGTGTCGTCCGTGACGCTCTCGCGCCTCGTAAACAAAACGCCAACGCGCCGTGGCCGCACGTAGGCCATAAGCACATCAAGGCTCATTGGCCTTTTGCCGTACTACTGCCACCGTCGCCGGCGGTCGTCGTTTCGTGTTATGTAGTTTTAGTTGGTCTCCGTTCGGAGATTTTTCGTTGCGTGTTAATTTTTTAATTATCCATCGTGTCGTACCCGTTTTTCCTATTTAGCATTATAAGTTCTTACGACCGTCCACGACTAGTGTAGTCTAGTATCTGCCTTTTTTACGACAGACCTCCGGTGTCCACCGTTAGTTTCTGTCGGTCGAGCGCTTCTTCGTCGTCGTCTAACGTTAGTATGATAATGTAATAATATGTCAGAATAATTAGCAATTTTTTGTCGATAGTGATCAGGCCGATCAGGGTATTTAGTATCATATTTAAACAATGTAGTAGTGAAATTTACCATTTTTGCTGTTTTAAATACAATCTGTACGGTCAAAAGTATTCATCGCCAAAACTAACTCATTACATATGTCATTTTTCTTCTTTTTATATCTATTTAATGGGTCATTTTTAAAATAAGTTTTATCATTAATGTCAGAATTGTTAAAWATATTTTATCTAACAATAAATTATTTGCCTAATCAATCTCATAATACAATAATTTGTGTGGACAATGTTTTTTTAAAATATTATCTTAAACTAATGAGATTTTACAATTGTACGCTGGTAAATACTTAAACTGTTTTATCAATGTTTAATTTTAAAGTTGTATGAGTCAAAATATATGAATTTCTATTAGGTATTTCTATTTCAAACAAACATATTATTTATTATGTGTTGGGAGGTTGGGACCCAAGTAATAATTGCATAGTTGGTCCTACACCTACTTTTTTAAAACAATGACAAAATTTATTGTTTCTAAAAGGTTGGTCACAATGCAATTAACTAGGTACCTACTCCCTGTTAATAATTTTTACAAAACTCATATTAAATAATAGCTTTATTTCTGTACGTAAAGTATTTATGTTATCAATTATAATTTAATATTTGAAGAAACATTATTGGGTTCAAATTTTGTAGTGTCATTATAAAATTATTATTGTTTGTTACCTATTTACCTATTGTAAATATTATATTTGATTTATCTACTTACAATTTATTATTGGTTATAAAAATGTTCATCATTAGTCATATTGTTAATATAATTAATGTTGTTCATTATTTTACAGCCTACCTATGGTTTATTTTATTTTCTCAATAGTTCATAGTACAAAATTTAAAAAATACCTATATCAATTAAGTTAGGTATTGGTAAATTTGAACACATATTAATTATTACATTTTACAAATATTTTTGGCCTAGTGTACTTTTATTATTATGGATAAATTATTGTAGAAAATAAATAGTTCTTAATTGTTATCTTATTTTATTTTACCTCTTTAATAAAAAACTTCAAATTTCACTGATGCAGATACTTAATAAATTCTAAATTAATCCTAGCTAATTAGAAAACACTTGAAAATTGTTAATGTATATTGTCGACTTTCTACAAAGTAAAATTACCTATCTACTGAAACAATGGAATTAAATTATTCGTCAACAGTATTTTGAATTATATTATAATTAATTCCTAATGTTCAAGTTGTTATTACTATTACAATATTTTGAATATAAATAAATAATCTATGTTCGTATAATAACTAATAAGCAATACAACAACATGTATAGCAATTTATCGTTGATTTAGGAATTAAACATTTTTTGACAAATTATGATTATGTAAAATTGTAGGTATATAGTCAAATTTAATAACTTTCAAAATTTTAAAACAAAGATGATGATACAAACATTGCATTTAATCATTTAAACCCCTGCCAATTTGGCATTTTGTCAAAATCATCAAAGATCACTGATCACTATACATCCTATTATAAAGTTATTTTAAGCTCTTAATATGAAAGGATATTGGATTTATATAAACAATTTGAAAAAAATCATTTAGATAGACTTTTTTGAATAATTTAATTAATTGTTTTCAGGTCTATTCAGTTTTTTCAAAAATTGCTTTATATTGACCCAAATTACCAACGGGCCAATGAAGTACATCTTAGGTTGGGTTTGATGTACAAAGTGTTTAATGAGTGGGAAACAGCATTAAAACATTTAAAACACGCTTATTCGGATGTTAGTTTAAGCACATTTTCCAAACTTGAAAGTATGTTGAAATTTTTTTATTTTCTAAGCTGTTTTATTTATTATTTTATTTTTATTTTCAGTAAGCTTCCATATTGCACATTTATATGAAGTACAAGGGAAGTACAAGTTGGCCAAAGATCATTATGAACAACTTTTAAATGATTCAAAAATTACTGTTCATCTACGTGCCGATATTTGTAGACAGTTAGGTTAGTATTGTTACATATTAAATACTTACAATGGTACTAATAAGTTAAGAAATAAATTTAATATATTTTTTTTAATTTTCCATAGGATGGATGTACCACAGTTGTGAATGTCTAGGGGATAAAAATCACCGTGAAACTGTTGCTATTCAATATTTACAAAAATCTATTGAAGCTGATAACAAATCAGGACAGTCTCTTTATTTATTAGGACGTTGTTATGCAAGTGTCGGGAAAGTTCATGATGCATTTATAGCATACCGTAATTCTGTTGAAAAATCTGAAGGAAATGCAGACACATGGTGTTCCATTGGGTAAATTAAAATTTTTATTTTTTGTTAT